ATATATATATATATATATATATATACACAAAAATTTGGTTGTAAGAACAAAGTTTGCAAGTAGATGGCGCCTACAACACAGCACCACCTCGCGCACTTGTCTTCTCTACCAGCGAGGAAGAGTCACACAGCCATGGCTAAGAATGGAGGAAAGAAAACTGGACAGAATTTTGAGGCAAATCTGTGTTTAGTCTGCTTTGAGAGGCTGTCTGCCATGAAGGACTTTAATACGTGGCCCTCCGGCAGTTTCAACAAAAAAAAATCTGTCACCTTCCAWCACCTAATTTGCTCACTCCTGGTTAATAGCAACTCGTACCTTGTTTGTACTTTAACAGCAGCTCCCAGATCCCTCTACGAGCGTAGGGATCCACCCCTGCCGTAGGCTCATCCAAGATTACGATTTTTGAACCACCTACAAAAGCTATGGCCACAGAGAGCTTTCGCTGCATGCCACCTGAAACACAGAAAAAAATGGCAGCTTTATTAGAGCTCAGATACGCACACTTCCTGTGGGATGAGAGCAGACAGCATCCTTGTATAAAAAAAACACTACAGTGTCAGTGTCAGGTTTCAAATTTAATATGGACACTGTATTGGGAAGTGATTATAAAATAAACATGTCTAGATGTAACGTTGCATGTTTTATTACCTTAAGTTTTTTTTTTGCAAGCCTTGAAATAATTGATGGCTGGGAAGTTGATACACTTTGCTGCCATAATTCTAAGCTGCTCTCTCTTCACAAGCTCTTCAAAATGCACGCAACATAGTGCTAATGTAGTGGAAATGTCAGTATAGATCAACCTTGAAAGTCATATTTCAGTGATTTTGCTCACAAGCATTCCGTGACTTGGGACAATCTATCAAGTAGGGCTTTGCTCATTTCACCCCCCACAGACAATGAATTACAACATAAAGGTACAGAGGACATTGCAGACAGACGCACGCACGTGTGCAAGGGAAAGACACGGCATGTCCTCGAGGTTTTACGAACACGCAGTGCACACAGCAAAAACCAAAATCATACACTTGCATGATGTTAATCAGACCCACTGAGAGACTCACCTGACAGGTTCTTAGCGAGTTCCTTCCTCTTRTGTGGTAAACCAACATCTTTAATCATCTGGTCCATCTCGGATTTCACTTCGCTCTTGCTGCGTCCTTTCAGCCGAGCATAGAAGTAAATGTGCTCCTCTACAGTCAATCTGCAAAGTGTGATATTAACATCACATTCTGGGTATGAAAGTTGAGCTTTTAACGATCAGTTCTTTTTTTAATTGTTGCAATAAAAGTTAAAAACAATAACTGGGTGCACAAGTTTACATTTATCATGGATTTTCACTAGTCCACACAGGGTCAAAATGTATGTTCATTCAAATACTGTATTAAATGGTGCTAAAGATTTTACAGTGTTTTTAACCTGACAAGGTCAAAGCCTGATAAAATCTCTTTAGTTATTTGATTGACTGCAGTTGGTAGTTCTTCTTTGTCCCCATTAAAAAAAGATTTGTTTGACAGCAATTATTTGATTGACCAAAACTCAGTGGATAAAAAGAAACTGGTCCAAATGTTCAGGAACAACACAGGCTGAARCCTGCTATGAACTGGAAACTGCTGGAACACCAGTCTCACTGTTGCACCTAATCCCACATGACTATTTTAATCTTACCAGTAAAAAGCTTAACAGGTTAAAATTAATATTAATGYTAGTAATTTGCAGGATTTAGATGTTATTATGATGTAAGGTTTTGCATCACAGTTCCAGGGATTTGGCTTGAAAAGAAAGGAATAAAAGGGGTAATGGAATGGGGAGTGGGGTATAATAAAACAGAATAATGGCTGTCAATGAAGCCATTAGGAAAATTTAGATGAAAAACGGAATAAGGGTGTTTTTATGACAAAAACAAGCTAATTCTGAAGACTAATGTTGTGTTAGATGAACAAGGCACTGACCCACATCATCTTCTTTTAGACTTTGACACTAAAAATAACTAAACTATGGGTGAGAAGAAGGAAAAACAGACAACAATCAGTCAAATCAGCACCAGTTCACTCACTCATTAAATAAGACATTATGCTGTGGACACATTCCCAAGTGCAACCGGATGATGTCCATGTCGGTTCGAATGTCATATCCATTGATGAGGGCCGTTCCTGATGTAGGCGGGAACAGTCCCGTTAGGATGGACCTACAGAAATACAAAATCTATTTTGAAAAACTTAAATATTTTTCTTGTTTATCAAGAAAAAAAAAGGGTTACCAATGAACATACAGAAAGATAATGTCTTTCTACAAAACAAATTTGTAACACGGCAGCAATGATGAGCCTATCTTTAAGCTGCTTCTTGGCGTTGATAAATTTAACAATCTGATCGGCCATGTCCAGTGATGTCAGTTTTATAAATGAAGTTTGGCGAAACTGTTCAAGCCATGGAGCATTATATACATAAAACATTTTTTTAAACTGTGATGATTAGTTGACAATCTGTCATCAATACATTAAATCTTCAAGCCTCATCAGGGTCAGTTTGGCTCGCACACGTAGACYGTTTCAGCTCTGTGACTACCTACCTGGGTAGCTTCAGGTAGCATTTGCAAAGAACWGAAACCTGAAAAAAAATCTTTAGAAATTTCCTCTAAATTTCACAGATTAGGAGATCTGGAGTTCTCAGAATGCATCGATGGAGGGATTTAGTCTTTTCTCTTTTTCTACTAGATTTTGTTCTAGCTGCTCAGAGCCCATGTCTTCTCAACTGCCCTTAGTCTTGCATCACTTGTTTTCTGTCGCTCACCCTTTCAGGGCCACTGGCGTTCATTTATTTTACTGTCATCCTAAAAACCCAACCAACCCCTTTTTCCACAATGTTTCAAGCAGCAATTAGATAACTCCCACTTTTCTTCACAACAGCTTTGTGATAAATGGTTCTCTTCTCGGCCTTTAAAAGCAATGACCACTGAATCATTGATGCTGCAGTTTAGTCAGCGCTGCAAACTGTTCATATTAGTAGATACTTTTGAAAACAGAAGAAAAAAATATATATATACAGTATATATACTGTATATATATATATAGTATATATACTGTATATATATATATATGCTGTGTATGGTGAAAATATGGGGGGGATTAATAACATTGCTCACATTGTGGTTGTTTTTCCTGCTCCGTTGTGGCCAAGAAATGATGTAATCTGATTCTGATAGAAGTCCAGGCTCAGCCCATCCACTGCAAGCTTCTTCCCAGTCTTGTAGATTTTGACAAGCTTGCGAATTGAGACCCCTGCTTTTATGTTGGGGGGCGGTTTCTCCATATATTCTTCACAAACACAAAGGGAGGGGGTACAAGGATTTAGGAGGAATTTTAAAAAGCAAAACAATAAAACAAAAATTTACAAATTCTAATCAACACATCGACATATCATTTGATTTGTGTATTAGTCTTATTTGATTTAATCTGTTCACATTATGTACAGTGATATTAATGACTCACAACGGTCCATTATTTTCCAATAAAGGAATAATTCATATCTTTTGAAGTGTGAAAATGTTTAGTAGGTGTCTCTGCAGTACATAGGGGTAGTTTCTTGGTGAAATTCTTAAGTGGGGGCGGAGCTGATCCTGACCATGATTGGTGAAGTTCTTGAAGGGGGCGGAGCTGATCCTGACCATGATTGGTGGAATTCTTGGCAGGGGCGGAGCTGGTCCTGACCAAGATTGGTGGAATTCTTGACAGGGGCGGAGCTGGTCCTGACCATGATTGGTGAAGTTCTTGATGGGGGCAGAGTTTGTCCTAACTGCCATTGGTGGAATTTTGAAGTGGGTGGGGTTAAGAATGTAGACAGAGGTTCTTGGTTTTTAGGCAAATTTTGGCAAAACTGTGATTGATCGGATTGACTTGTCTTAAGGAGAAAGTTAAAAGATGAAGTTGTGGTAATAGTAAAATTACTGTAAGCAAGTAAACACGATTATTGACTTCAACTTTAGTACAACCTCCTCCCACCGGGAGGAGGCCCCGAGGAAGACCCAGGATACGCTGGAGGGACTATGTCTCTCGGCTGGCCTGGGAACGCCTTGGAGTTCCCCCGGAGGAGCTGGAAGAAGTGGCTGGGGAGAGGGAGGTCTGGGCCTCCCTGGTGAGGTATTCCGGGCACGTCCCACCGGGAGGAGGCCCCGAGGAAGACCCAGGACACGCTGGAGGGACTATGTCTCGCGGCTGGCCTGGGAACGCCTTGGAGTTCCCCCGGAGGAGCTGGAAGAAGTGGCTGGGGAGAGGGAGGTCTGGGCCTCCCTTCTGAAGCTGCTGCCGCCGCGACCCGACCCCGGATAGGTGGAAGAAAATGGATGGATGGATGGATGGATGGATGGATGGATGGATGGATGGATGGATGGATGG